AAGAAAAGTATAATAATATTTGCGAGAATTGAATTGCCACAATTTTTTCTTTTCCGTCTTGAGTTTATTTTATCATATGGCGCTGAGTAGAAAAGAATGGAAAAAGCTTAATAATCTTTCCGAGAAAACCACGAATCCGTTCTGGAAGTATGAAAAATAATGAAAAAATTTCATGTGAGATTTTTTAATACGATTCAAGAACGATAGAATAAATGAAAAAAAAATGTAGTTACTGATACAAGAGATCCCCCTTTGGGCAAATGTTCTTAAAACGATACTCCGGAATAGGATCCTATGCTTGATTTTATTGCGGCTTCTCCCCTAAGGCATTATTTATATCTTTTTACTTTTGTAATAGTAACTTTGTCTTTTGTCTCTTGAAATCTTACACTAAAAGGAGAAGAAGAACGTAGAATAAATTTTTTTTAGAATTTCGATTATTTTTATTGTAATATAATACAAATAGGATAATGGGAAAGGATTAATTTATAAATTATTATAACAAGATATATATAAATGTTGAGGATAATTTTTTTTTTGAACCTTCTTGACACAAATTCTTATCTAAATAAGCATAAATTAATTTATTTAGCATATATTCCAATAACTTTGAACAGTGTCATGTAATTTTCACTTAGTGTGAGTAGAAAAATCATTAACAGATGAATTAATTGAGAAAAAAGTTGATTTTTTTCGAAAGTGTAAGGTCATGTACAGAGCTAAAGTCCAATCCATGGTTTGTCATAAATTTTCGTAATGTTGCCTCGTCGGCGGTACTCACTTTGCATTGTTACCGGCCCACTAATTATAGTGATCAATCATAAACTTTCTGTACGTGCCGGCGACTACCACTAGTGTAACATTATTCTCTCTCTTTATCTCTTCCTCTCTTCTCTGTTTACCATACATAGTTCCATGATAACTCGTCCCTGTTGTTGTCCAAGCATGCATACAGTTATTAGTAGCCGGATGTCCTGCTAGCTGTGATTGGTTAGAATTGTCTATCCTTATTACGGAAACCACTGAAGCCACTTGACTGACATCTTTTGTTATTACCATTCACGAATTTGTTGTAGCAATTCAATTTCTCAATTAAATAATTACTTTAAAGAAAAAATTAATTAAATAACTCATACACTCTATAACTTAAATATATTTCTCTGTTTGTAATTTATGTAAATTTGACTTTACATTATTTCCCTTTCTTCAAATGTATCCCCAACAATTAATTATAAAAATTGAATGAAATAAACTAAAAACAAATTTATAATTTAATTTTTAAAAATAGTAAAACTTAACATTCGAGCAATTACTATAAAAAGTTGAAAGGACTTTTTCCAACGATTTAAATTCAGATCTCTCGAGAACGACCGAAATCTTGAATAATTCTCAAAGTTGTGGTTAACTAAATTTTACCTTTGCAAATTTTCACATTGATTACCGTCGTCTGATCGTAGCTCCCTGATGTCATTTAGAATAAATTGAATTGTAACGTGAATTATGCGAAAAAAAATCCATTAAAGAAAAAACTTGGAAATTTGTGATTCTGATTATTTTTCTACATTTTTTTTTTTTAATTCTATCAATATTGAATAAAAAGACATTGGAATAGTATTTGTGTAATTCATTTACATTTGGAATCTCTTTAATGATAAAAAAATATTTTTATTCAATTATTTATTCAATCAAAATTAGGTATATAGTTTTGAGTTCAATTAAATTCAATTTTAAGAGTATATAAAAACTAAATAAACATGTCGGATCAAAAACTGGGTATTACTACTATCTGGCAGTAGTAATAGTCAGTGATGTCTATTTAATGATCCATGTTTACATATATATTTTATATACTAAATTTGAATTCATTACAGTTTGGCATAATTGATAAATAACTTTTTTTCCATCGAGAAATAAAAGTAAGGATGAATATAACAAGTGCTTTGAAAAACAAAATTTTTCTTGATGCGATGCTAACGAGGAATAAATTGGAAGAAACGAGGGTGAATTTCGTTTATGAAAAATAAGTTAGATAAAAAGCTCGATTGCACCAACCTGAGTTTTCCCTTTTTTTAATTACTTCACCATTCTGATAGGTTGCTTAATTACAACGATTATTACTGAGAGAATTAAGTTCGAGTATGGTTCAGTGATTTCTCAGGAATTGATTGCATTATACAGATTTAAAATAAATATATATTTGAAGGAACACAGAGTAATTGAATTTAAAGATAAAAAATGGGTCTGAGCTTACTTTGTTCTTCCTATTTATTGAAATTCGTCATTTTATCATTTTTTATTTGTTTGTTTATAACACATTGAAATTTTTTGTAAAAAATATATAATTGTTTAGATTCATTTGAAGTCATTACCAACCATATTGTATTGATATTGACTTCAGTTTTTAACAATATTAATCATTCAAAAAATCATTCAAGTCTGTACGTGCAAAAAATTGTCCGTACGTAGAATTGTACGTGCGTATATCCAATGAAATATTAAGTTAATGATATTATTGAATTGTTAAAATAAATAACTTGAACAAAATCTTATGAAAATCATTTAATAGATTTTAATAATTACATTTATTAATTATTTTATTTTTGCTTACAGATTTCAAGGAGTAGACAACTACTTTACGGTAAGGACACTTGGAACTTATTTTTCAATCGAGTGACTAAGCAGACTTGAGTTTAATATTTTACACTGGTAATAAGCACTGAGGTTATCGACTAAAGTATTAAAAAAAAATTCCACTCTTTCCGATTATTAGTTTATATTTTATAAATATGTTTGTAACTTTTTATTGAAAAAGAAATAGTTATAAAAATAGCGTGCAATTTTCAAGTTTAAACAATCATTTGTGTTAAAAATGAAAAGTCGACAGTTTAGAGAATAAACATAGACAAAAAAAAAAACTATTAGTAAGAGTAAGAATTTTATTGGAAATAAAAATAGACGATATTGATGATATGAACGTTAGACTTTTATTTGTGGTTGAACACGTCCAGTATATAATTGAATTAGCGTTAGTTACAGGTCAACCCCTCGAACGTCAATTGAGTCTGAGTACACTGAGTTATTTTATTTTTTTTCTTACAAGCATGTATTTATATATTCTAGTTGATCATTTTTAGATTGTATTTAATAACAAAGAAGTCATTTAAAATTGTAAGACAATATTTTAAACATAGAAATGCCTTAATTTCTCGTTGTCTTCTTTATGCTCAGAAAGATTTTTATAAAATGTACAAAGCAGTGGAGGAAATGAGAAAAGCAGAATGTAGACTAGTATACTCAACTTACTTTCTGAATGTCGAGGACGAGTTGGGTTTATTAAATTTTCATGCTCATATTCTGCAGTCTTTTCTGCATTATATGTAGCGTGTATAAAGATTTATTCATAAAATATTCAAAATTTAATTATTAATTATGAAATCAAACAGTATTATTATGTAATAGTTACAGTACTTGTTTAGTGCTTATAAAAGTATAGAAAGTCATTATGAAATTTAAAAACTGCCATGATGTTTAAAGTGGGCTTTCAATTGAGGCTGGAATTCAGCCAAATGTGTCGGGTTTCATGTAACGATTGTGCGAAAACGCGCTAAGCCGAGTTTCCTCCCTGTGGATCGACATCCAAAATTGATGCTTTTCCGTTGCATTTATGTGGTCGCTAGTTTTCTACTCCCCAACGTCCTCAATAACGTTTCCGATGAAGCTTCTGCGGTTGAAGTGTTATCATGGCATTTGGTCCAACACCAAACGCCTTTTTGAACGATAGGATTAGAGGATTTAGACTGTGTTGACTTGTTCAATGGTATGGAAGCTATTCACGTTTTTATTTATTATATAAATAACGACTCGGAATTTTTTAAATGCATTATAACTTTTCATACAATTTTTAAGCTCTATTGTCCAATATCTACTCTCGACAAGAATTATGATTTTTAGGATCAGTATGATTCATTTTAAATTACTCCTGGATTATATCAAAATTTTAGTTCAATAAATTCCATTTTAATTCCAATTTTCTTCATTAAGAAAATAAAATTATTAATATTTTCCGTCAATTTTATGTAGATTAAAAAATGCTGATTTTAAAACAGACAGGATACTTAGTTTTTAATGTTCCTTTTTTGTGATTTATTTCTATTTGTTCTTTGTCGAAGCTTATTCCTTTTCTTCCAAGTCTTTTTTCTGCTGACTTGACTGCAACTCTTTGATTGGATTATTTTTTGTTGGGGATTTTGTTAAAGATCGGCAGTTTTTCTCGTGCCATTGTGTCAAATTTGATTCATAATTTTTAATTTTTTCAAATCTTTCCAAACAAAATTATTCTAAAATCTAATGATATTTATATGAATTACTTAACAAATTAATGTTAAATATTAATTTCAAAAGTATTTTATCTTATACTTTAATATCGCAATTCCAATCTTGAACTTCAATAACAGTTACAGCTCACTCGTTATTGCTTTGCCAAAAACTTAGTCAACTAATGTAGAATGAGATTCCATACTTGGACGTTAGATTCTAACTTCTTATACTTGAATAGTTTTTCTTTTTTATTTTTCCGCTCGGTCTTTCAGAACTCTTGATGATGACACAAAAGTATGCGACGAAAAAAGCACATTGAAATTTTATCGCTTCCATTATTGAATTTACTACCTATTTTTTTTGCATTTTTTCCCTCTCAAGATCTCTTTCAATTTTTATGATCGACGTCAATCATTCAATTTTTTATCATTTTACTTATATCTCTAATCCAATAAATTTAGAATGAATGTTTTCATAAGAGATCTGATATAAAAACTGAACCTTAGTTTCAATTCAACTTTGTTCAATTCTTCAGCAAAATATTAAAGACTATTATTTATTGTTTGTTTTTTTTCTTAAATTAAATATCTTATTTATTTGTTGAAAAGTTTTATCCAAAAAAATTCTTTTGATAATATTATATGTCTACTTTTTAATAAATGTTCAAATATTATTAAGCAAGATGAAAGCTAAATACTTTTTTTTTTTTGTTACACATTATACAAAGATTTTCTTTTTGAATCCCACAAAATTGGATATTTTCAACTACAGAAAGTCTTAAAATGGATACAGTAAAGATACATGACATCGAGCAGTTTGATAAAATGACTGAGCTTGGAGTTTATTTCAAATGGAATCTTTTCTTCAAACTTTCCCCATTTATCGTTAATGACTCATAAAATTATATTTTCTATATATTTTATATAAACAGGAACATCAAATCAATCCTTCAATTACATTTATTTAGAAAATTTTTCTTCAAGGTTTTTTAACAAAAAATTATTTAAAGATAAAAAAATCACATTTAAATTTGGATAACTCATTCATTTTTAGCATGAAAAAATGTATAAGCTGATTGATGATTAAGTCTAATAAAAAATTAAATGTGAACCGTAATTATGTGTTCAAGTTTCCAAAATGATTTACATATCAATAATAAATAGAAATGATAACAATATTGATAATCGTATTAAAGGTATCATCATAAACGATTATTTGTGTAAATTATTAAAAATTTTCTAGTATTATTAAAGCTTCAGTTACCGAAAATTATTCGTTCATGTATTACTATTGAAAAGCACAAGTAAAGTTAATTCGATACTAAATAAATTTTATGACAATTAAATTAATGCAAACATTTTTACTCTACTTTTTGATGAAGTGGATAATTTTTGTGAACATGATATTTGTGATGTGTCAATAGAGTTAGTATTTCAAACTACTTTTATATATTTATACAAAAAATGAAAATAACTGTGGTATGTTTAATAAATTAAAATAATTAGAAAAATTTAATAGAAAATTGCAAAACTGTTAATAATTAAATCATAAAAAAATTTTCTTTCGGTAGTTTAAATAAATTTAGTTTTTCTTCTCTTTTAGATTAATTTGAGAAAAAAAAATTGATATTTATATTAGCAATTATGAAGAGAAAAATTAGTGATGAGTATGATATTGATTTCCCCAAAGGCTATTAGTTCCATCTCCTTTAGTAAGAGAGAGCCTTTCAACGATTTCTTTTCGTGGAGTTCTGAGATCATAAGCGAGTCCAAACCATGCCATGATCTCAATGAATGCGGTTGTTGGATTGAGACCATAAGCTCCTAACTCAGCAGCTTTATAGTCCCAAGGAAATGAATGATGATAGTTATGCCAGCCTTCTCCAAGAGTAAAGAATGATACCGTTGGGTTCTCCGTTGGTTTTAGTTTTCTGCAAATATTTTACTTCAGTCAGTAAATTAACTTTAATAAAATATTCAAACGTTACATTTAGATATTTCTATAAAATCTTAGCTCTTACATGTTTCAAAAAATTTTTATCTACCTTTTAAAAAAATAAGTAAATTAGCACAAGTTAATAAGTCAATAGTTCTTACCTGTTATATGGTCGATTGCCCCACATATGAGCTAAGCTGTTGACAAGAAATGTAGCATTCAACAGCCACACATAACGAATAATCACAGCCGAAATACTGATGTACCAACTTTCATTCCAGAGAAAAACTGGAATCATGCTGGGCAATATAAAAGCGAGAAACACCATAATTGGCGCGTAATACCTATGAAAAAAAAATTATTATTATTATCATTTAATTAATCAGCAAACGAATTCATTGATTACTACTTGAAGCAATTTAGCTACATACTCGAATCTCTCATATTATTTTTCAATAATAAACTGATTATTTTTAGCAAAGATCATTATCATTATTAATTGCTTGTTATTTATAAATTGACAAGTACTGTGATGTAGAATATTTTTAATTGACTATTATTTATAAAATCAATAAAAGCTTGAAATTAACACTTCAGGTTCAAGTGTTTAGTAATAAAACATCGAAAGTGTTTACAAAATGTTGGAAAACCTAATGATTTACCAATATTAACAATAGAATTATTAAAACAAAACTGTTATTAATACAAAAAGAATTTACTGACAATTAAAATAAAATTATTAAACTTTCTAATTCTTACTAAAATTTTCTAAATTTCTAACTTTATGACTTTTTCAAAGAAATGCAATAAAACTACGGTCACTGACTTAACGCCCAAATTTCCCAACTTTCCACGTTGGAACCTTTGCCCTACCATCCACCATAGTACCTAATGCACACCATGCACTAATATAAATACGATCATCATTCTTCACTAGTTAGATCAGTTGCAATTCTTCCTTCGACAAGTCTATACTAAATTTCTGTTAAAAATTATCTTCCTTTAAACCTATATCCAATATTAAATAACGAATAATATCAGTTAGAATACAATTGTTTTGTAAATTGAAAATTACTTAAATAAATCTCGTTGGAATACAACAAAAATTATTATAGTTTATTTATGACGTTCAACATTGTTGACACTTAGGGGTTTTATTATTAAACTCTTTAAACGTTTTATTACTAAACACTTGAATTTTTTTGCGGATTTTTAGTGAATATAAATATTATGAATGACATAATTTTGCTAGAAAATTATTAAAAGATAAAAAAGATTGAGAAAATTTGAAACGACTTACTTATCGAAAAATTGGATGACTGGGTCAGCTTTTATATCACTCATGTCTACTTTACTTCCATACTTTTTAACCGCCGGATGTCTGCGCATCATGAGCCAACCGACGTGAGAGAAGAAGAAACCACGATGAGCATTGTGCGGGTCAGCTGGAGTTTCCGAGAATCTGTGATGAGTTCTATGGTCACGGATCCATTTAGAAAGATGTGTCTTGAATAAGACATAAAGAAATGATAATTTATCTTTAAATCATTTATCATTTTTATTATTGTAAAAATTTCATTATCATTTTTTTTCTTTTTTTCCTTCAATATAGTCTGCTTTTTTCTTACAATTCATTTTTTTAAAAAATTTTTTACAATTTTTTTCTCATTCACAATTAATTCAACCTTTTAAATTAGACTCTTTGCCATTAATTAATTCTTTTTTTTTTTTTTACTTCATCTAATGTTGTACTTGAATAGGATTATTTGATGATAGCTGTTGACGAATGTAATTAATTATATTTTAATATCAAAAAGTGTAAGGAAAAAAAGAAGAAAAATATACATTCAAGTGCCTCTAAATCATACTTTATGTATACACGCAAGCAGTTTAACAAAAGCTTACTTTAGCTCTATACTATTTGTAAGCGATATTTGTTTGCTTTAGTTAGCGAAATTGTATATACGATATCATGGTCGTGCGTAAAATTATCCAAAGAGAGTAAAATAAAAATATTTAGATAATGGAGAAAAGGTCATGGGAAATAAGTATCAAATTAAAATATTTAAAAAAGGTATTAACAAAAATGAATTAATTATTGAATGATATGAAATAACTATTATTGATACTTCGATATGTATATGTATATATAGATAAAATTTTATCAGTTTTATTACTTGTCATTGATTTTATGATTTGGAACGTTAAAGGTGTTTAAATTGTATCAGAGCTGTGGGCTATCTCACTGGAAATTAACTTATAGTGTTGGGGTTGAACATTAGCCTTCTGGCCCTATCGAATATCGATATTTACTACGGAAGCCTTGAGTATTCACTTGGGAGATCAAGTTTCTCCTACAAAATGAAATTGGTCGCTTTAGTCCGATGCCACACTGACTCATGTAAACTATTGATATAGGAGTCTATTCCATGATGCGAATCTACTTATGGTTTGAATAATATAATCCTATCAATAAAACACTTACTATCATTATGTGATGTTGCTTTCAACTTTAAATTCATTGATACAATTAATTTATACATGCCTTCAAAAGTGCCTGCCAAAATTTAGCTAAAATACACTGTTATTATAATTAATTTAAATAATTATATTATGTTTTTTTTTGTTGCAATTTTATAAAAATCTTATCGTGTTATTTTTATTTTTTTTTTTTTACTTATTTATAATGAATTAAAATTACTATGAACAATATGCAATTGTTTTAGATTATATAAAGTAATTAACAACAATATTTAATAATTTTCTTAATAATTCTTATGATATAATTAGTAGAGTTAATTTTCAATTGTATTCTATTTCATTCATTTCACAGTTTATTTTTTATAAACAAATAATGGCTAGACTGAATTTGTTTAAACTCCAGAATACTTTATTACTAATTTTTATCCGAATATTTCAACTAATTTTTAGAAGGCACTGTGAGATGAATATTAAGAATATATATTTATATCATAGTTAATAATAAAAGTAATAATTATTTCGGTATTATTTTAAGGAAAGAATCTTTCAAGAATATAACTTGAAACAAAATAAATTATCATAAATAATGGCATTTTTTTATAGTAATAAATAAGCATAAATGTCTTAATAAGTATTCTCCTTATTTTATGTTTATTGCAAAAATGTAACTTACTTGTCCGGCCATGCAGTAGAGGTATGCAAGAAATATCCTTAGCGGTACTTTAGCAGAGTAACTTTTGTGAGCCCATAGTCGATGTGCTCCAGCTGTAATTCCTACCCCTGCAGCAATTCCATAAAGAGGACCTGTTGGAAAAAAAATTCATTTATCTAAACTTTCTTACTATACTGTTATATTAAAATATCACAAGTACTCTACTTTCTACATATTATCTCATATTTTATTTTCTCTGTAAATTTCATTAGTAAGATTAATTGTTCTTGTAAGAAAAATTGACAACAGTGGTAGTCTGTATTTTTTAAATCGTATATAACTTGGAAAAGTATGGCATTAAAACATAAAAGGTGATATAATGTACTAAAGCTTTTTATTATCGTTTTCCACATTTATAAAAATATGTATTCGCACTAGAGTTGTTAGAATGCTGTTCACGTACATGTTGACGAGTATTGGAAGGTGCTGTAGAAATAGCTGAGAATAGACGAAACTGAGGTAAAAGCGGCAAGTAGACGAAGAGAAATACAAGTTGGCAGCCTCATTTTCTTAAAATGTATTCCTCACGTTCCTAAGGGAATGATGCATTTTACGAATGCGCCTCTCGTTTCAGACTGTATGCAAGAAATTTAGTCACGTGGGCTTCACTGTCTTGCATTAGGGTATGATAAAATATCAAGTAGAGGAGAAGAAAAATATTATCAAAATAATTGCTGCGTTGTTGTTTTAAATTGTTATAATATTAAGTGAAAATATTTTAGAGAAAAAAAAAAAACAAACTTACTGAAAATCCAAGTCCAAAATTTAGCTTCATGATATCTCGTTGCGAATGAATAAAATGCCCATACATGAAGAAAAATAATACCAAGAATGTTTCTCCATATAAGAGGTTGAGGAGCATCTGTTTCTTCGGATAGTGAAATTGGTTCTGCAGTTTCCTCAAGTGAACTCTTTTTTGGCGGCTCTTCAAACTGCGTTACAGTCGATGTGTACACTAAATAGAAATCAATATTATCAGTTTATTTATTATATTTTAATAATTTTTTTTTTTATGTCGTAAGATTTAGTAAAAGTCAGAGACTAGTATGTGGTAAAAAGGAAAAATTTATTTAAAATAATACCTAGTCTACTAGTACGTAAATTTTAAATTTTCAATAATATAATCTACAGATTTTCTACATTTTATTACATAGAATATTTTTTATCACACACATGCACACACACACACACACACACACACCTTAAATAATTTATTAAGTAATGACAATTTTAATACATGAACAAATAGTACATTGTGCAACTAGGGAGCAAAGTAGGACATTCCAACCCGGGTGTGATGTTACTACCCGAGCCGAAGGCGAAAAGTAGATAAAATATTTGGTAATTATACAGATTGGGTTACACATCTCCGATTATCCTGAAAATTGAGTATGTAATAAAATTCGTCATCCTGAATAAGAATGTCCATACATAATAAATATTTAAATGCTAAAAATATTGTTTGAAAAAAAAACAATAGTCTACATGACAAAAAATAGGAAAAATTTAGTTTACTAGACACGCTTAGGTACGCCCGTACAAAACGTAACTGACTCCCATAAGTCACGCAAAATTAATTTGCCTAAATTTTTAACCACCCACACACACACACGCGCGTTTGACAGCACCAATTTATAAAAATGTAAACAAGCATGCATTTGAGTTAAAATATACAAATGCGAATTTAACTATATTTGAACTTATTTAAACATGCTTTTAGTGTGTTAAAATAACACACATCCAATAGTCAAGATTTGCAAGTAATATTGCTTTAAACTTTCATGATCTGTGTGACGTTGAATCCTTTAAAGGATTGGGATTAATTAGATACATCTACTGAGAGACGAGATGGTATAAATATCATAGCTTGATATGAGACTTTTGACATCTATGAAGCTCACAGTGCTTATATGGTTACAGAACAGTTGTCAATAACTATTTAACCGAATTCCCAGACGTCATATAATCTGGAATAATTGATAGATAAGATATTTTAAAATCATATCTTTGTTTTATATTTATAGATTTGAAGCATATCTAGCTAGAAAAAAAATTGATTTTCAATATACTTCTGTATGATATTTTATTTTATAAATAACATAGTTACACCTGAATTACAGTTTATTTGATTTTTCGATTTAATAAAATAGTGTTTTAATTCTAGTCCAATTCTAGTGTAATTAAAAATAGAGTAAATAAAAAATCTCATTACACCATTCAAAAGAGGGTATTTTTTATGTCAAAAAAAATAGTAAATTGATTTTAATATTTTTAATAACAATATTTGTTTTATTAATAACAAAAAAATATACTAATTTATAATGAAATACGTGTGATGGAATAAAGTTCTACATACTGAATTAATTTTTCAACTAATTTAACAATTTCTATTCGATTACAGAGCTATGAAATTGTAACGAACCATAAACTTGTATAATCGAACTCCTTGCTCATTGAACTTAGATTGTATCTCAGTAAGTTTGTCTGGTCGCATGCTTGGAGTCACTTAGAACTTAAACTTGTTGGAATATGGCTATATAACCTCAACGAACGTGCATCTCTTCCGAGTACGTTAATTGTTATACTACTTTATGAAGTCGATCTGAATTTATTTCATCCATTCCAAGAAGTATAATATTTTATCGTTATAATCTTAAATAATAAACCAAGAAATCCTTTATTTTTTTTTTTTTTTTTGCTAAAAAAAAACCCGTCAACATTAAGTCTTATCGAGTATCCATGAAATATGAAAGTATCGATAAATCAGGGTGGGTGATAAGTAGCGAAGAATCATGATAGCAAAACGAATGGCGTAGAATATTTAAAAATACAAACAACAAAAAAAGAAATGGCAAAAAACTATAAAACCAAGAGATTGTTGTGAATATGCAATACATCTCTTTGTTTTCTCTTTTTTCTATTTCATTCTGCTTTCGGTATTTTAAGTTTTTTTTTTTTTGGTATTACTCATCGGAGGTAATAATCTGCAAAATGAAGTAGAAATCTTTAAAAAAAAAGATAATTAATTAAATAGGTGATTTCATCAGAATTTAACAATTTATTCGTTCTCGATGTTTAATGTTCTATCTTTTTATAAGGACACGGTTCATTTAGCTTCTATTAATCACATAAGTTGGTAAATTGCATTATTGAAAGCGTTTATTAAACTGGATTTCTTATGCAAAGTCAATGAAAGTGTATATGTAGAGTATGCCAATACAAGTTCGCGGCCGAGGTTGAAACTTCAATGTTGCAGACATATCTTAATAAAAAATCAAGTACACTACCGTTCAAAAGTTTGGAAACACTACGGTAATTTAAATAAAATTATCAATAAAACATGTATTTATGAAATTTTATATTTAATTTAGAGGATTGAAATCTATTCAAAACGAAAACAGTGTTTGTAGCTACTAATTTTTAAATAATATTAATTAAAAAAAATTTTTAAATAACTCATTTCATTTCTTTTTACTGCCACTGTCATATTAATTCAAGTTACATTTCACTCAGCAACTTGAATCACTCTTTTACTTTCTTGACCTTTTTTCGTCATCAATACCTTTTAAATAATAGTAACCGTGAACGAGTTTCAGAGGCATTACGATACTATCATCTAATAAGGCGTGCTTTAGTGAAAGTATGACTTTTTTCGTGGCATGTGGCAACGGTCATTATTGCTAATCAATTCCTTTAAGGCGAATAACTGTAATAATTTTAATGTATACATTTTAACTATTTTTATAAAAATAAATACAGTGTCATGTCATGTGGCATTCCGCGTCCATACCTTCTTTATTCAAAATGTCAAATTAAGAAATAGATTTAAAAATTTATTATTAATTATACATTCATTTAAAAAAATATTTTTTATAAGGTTTTATTCATTTATATTGCGTTTAACAATCTTTCAACTAAAATTTAGTATGCAAAGAAATATAAAACGTGTTCAGAAGCTTTTCTTGCAAAAATATTTACAAATGAAAAGAAAATTGAAAGAATTAAATATTGATTTATTTTTTATTCAATCAAAAATGTAAAAGGAGGGATGTAATTATAGAATTCAAAGGAATACAGTTTTGGAATTTGAATTATTATTTGGATTTAAATATCAAAATTAAGTTTAAATATTTATCTCTATTTAAATATTTCCAAGAAAGTACAATCTTGCGTTTCAATTAATTTTTGTATTATTTCAAAATTATAATTTGATTACTTCTTTAATAAATTCCTAATTGATTTTTAATTTTAATCTTAATAATAAATAACCCTAATGATGTTATCCCATTATCAATTTATTTTAAATTAAAGAATAATTCATGATTATTTTAAATTATAGTGCAACAACCTCTTACCACAAGCTCAAACTATTGCACTAGGTGTAGGCCAAAAAGGAGTAATCTTTTAGTAGTATTTAATTTTAATCTTTTAAATGTTTAATTACGACATCATCCATTTAATTAACATTAAAGTTATTTTTAAAACACTTTCAAGTACATTGAAATAACACACTTCTAAAAATAAAGATTTGCAGTGATACTTTCCTAAATGATGACCTATTTTATTTTTATTTTTTTGATTGTAAAATATAATATATACAATGAAAGTATTATTTCGACCAACGTCCTAGTTTGCACATAATAATAATTCGAATCATTAAATATTAAAGTAGGTTTTGAAAAAAAAAATCCATTACTGCCTCATAATACTTTCTTATAATTAATTACTCTTATAGTAATTATTATGAATTTAATTAAGGAAAAAAATTAATAACAGTTAATCTTAATGTGTTGAAAAGATCTAAAGAGATACTGTGTGTCTACATATATGTATTAAAATTACACATATAAATTGACTAATCAATTAATCATCACTGGTATAAATGCATTTCATTTAGCATGCCTCAATAAGTATGCTAATGGTAAGCTAGAGGTAGATTCACTTGAATGTTTTTTTTTTTTAAATTTAATACAATGATAAATTTAAAAAAAAAAAATATGATGAAAGCGTGAAATATTACTTGAATGAAAAATGACACTAATTGTTGTATCTTTTGTTGCTGTTTATTATAGAAATCATATGAAAAACATTTGAATTGGACAGATGTGCATTAAAAAGTTGCATTTTTTTATGAATAACTGCTGTGTCATTGGCGAAAGCGTTGTAAATTATTCAACATTCTGAACATAATGTATTTCACCTCTTTCAACACCAATAGCATAATGTTAAAGTTGCAAAGAAATTTGATAATTTATTGAATATAAATTAGAAAATTAAGTACACTTATTTTGCAACTTGTGAAAAAAAGAAGGACTGTAAAACAGGTGTTTGAATGTTTTCTATTGTTAATTTTCATCTTTGCAAAACAATATTGCATAGAAAAATATTTAGTTTTTATTATTGTAGTTAGTACTAGAAAATCCAGACATAAAAAAAGAATAAAATTTGATAAAAATTGTTGTGGAATGTGTAAAGATACATAATAGGTAGTAAAATGTAGAGTAAATTTCTCTTTTCATAAAATAAACTGCATAACAGTGTACATAAAAAAATGTTTTTATGATGATTTTTTTGTGAAATAGACTAGGGTATAAAACAAATTTGTTCTATATTCAGTTACGTGTCAAATTGAATTTAGTGTCAAATGAATGCAATTCTATAAAAAAAAAAAAAACAATGTTTTTTTTTTCTCTTATTTATTTTTCATATTTTGTGTTATCTCAGGTGTTCAGTGGCAATTTCATTTTTATTTAGTATGATGAGAAATATTTTCCCATGATTAGCACTTCAATAAACGTAAATTTATATTCATAGAATAATTACAAATAGTTTATTTTTTTCTTTCTAAATGTCAATTCAATTAATAAAAAGAATTTGAAACATTCGCAATACAATATTGAATTGAATTTAATAAAATTTTGCTTAATATTTGGTTTAAAATTATGATAAGTTTAAATACAAGTGACATAAAATTAATATTTATGATTTGAGTCACTATTTGTAACGGTTTATTCCATCAATTCAAAAAAAAATTACTTGTTCACATTAAATTTTTTCCTCAGTGAATTTCAACATATTTTTTAATATTTTTTTTATGCAGTATTTCATGTGTATATTATTTAAAAATACTACACTCATTATTTAAATGCTAACAAATGTCAACTACTACGTCAATTCCAAAAAAATACTTCATTACAACAATTCAAATTTTTATTTTAGTAATTTAAAAAAATATTACTTGTTTACAATCAACTTTCCTCTCAGTATACCCTGTATGAACTAAATGCTAGTAAAAAAATAATGAAATTTTGTGTACTTTTATAGACTTTTACTCTTAAAAGCATTACGATTTCTACTTAGAAATTGATGTTGTAATAATTTCCTGTTTCAATTACTCTATAATAGTTGACACGATAATATTTTCTTTTCTCTTAATGTTCTCCAAATGATGAGATGATATAATCAATATACTTTATACGTTGTTAGAATATTAAAATGTAGTAAAAAATAAAGGAAATTGAGTGGATGTTACATGAAAAGATATTAACTATCAACTATAGGCTCAAATTTAAGTTATACAATACTGAATTATCGTGCCGATGTAACTTGATGATTGGCGTTTAATGATAGGTGTCTGACAGGTGATCTCAGCAGAAGGAACAGGAAGAGAAAAGTCTACTTTTCCCCAGTGCAAATGGACCGGTGATGTGATTTACAGTGAATGTTTTACGTGATTACTAGAAATGCTATCTCTTCTTGTTTCAAATATCGAAATCGTTATGGTATTTCATATCATATGTAACCATATATCAAATGTCATTATAAGATAAAATGAAAAATATTAATAAATTACGAAAGCATTTTTTTTTTATTAAATAATTAAACACAAAAATCGACTTGTGCCATAAAATATTATACAAATTCAAGTGCGAAGATTTTTGTGCTCGATTAATATTTTTAATTATAATATTAAATTTTTTTGTTATTAAAATTCATAATAACTATTGTTAGCATAAATAAAATATTTTTATCATTATTTTTATGCAATTTAATTAAAAGATATTTTTAAAGTATATTTAATAATAATCTATTAATGCAATAAATTTTATTAACAAATAATTAATTAATTAATTAGATAATTATATCTAAAAAAAAAAGTACTTACTTATTGAAGAATGCCAAATGTCTTAAACAATACCAAAGAGCTATTTGAACAAAATTCTAATCAAAATTCACTGTCGAACTGAATTAAAAATAATGTAGTGCGAAATCATTGAATGTATTGATTAGTTTTCTGATGAAACGTATAGGGCAAATATTTTAGTAAGATCTGCGCTCCGTTCACGTCTTATAAAGACTCTGTTCCATTATAGAATAGGGGAGAAGTGGAAGTAGTTGTGAACAAAAAAAGAACCAACGAAAGTGGCAACAGTATTCGACATCTTGACTAGGATAAATATGAAAGGAGAGGATTTTCTCACACTTCGCATATTCTAAAAACTTTCTTCGAGTTTTCCCTCGTATTTACTTTATGTTTGTACTTAAAAAATTATTTTATGTCTGTTGTAATAGAAGAAAAAGGACAAATTAAAAATTTTTTTAATACTTTTAATAAATAGACAAAGTATAGTTATAATAGAAGAACAATTTTTTCATTCTTCTAAAACAAGACGTAATATTTATTTATTAAATATTAAAAGTTATACAGGTCCTATTAGGAAATACATAGGATGATTAATATAATTTAATTTTTTAAATAATTAAAAAAATTCAGGTGGTTAAAGGAATTGTCAATGTGAAGCATGCAACTATAGTTTATTTATTAATTCACCATAGATTTCACAAACTCAGTACAAAGTATTAATGCAACTTTATTTGAATAACAGTCAACATACACTCATATTATTTATATACACAATTAGTATTGACATAAATATCTCAATACAGTAAAAGTAAAACCCACTTTTGTAAATTTAATATATAATTAATTCCTAATTAATTAAATTTGGGAATATTGGAAAACTATTGTAGTAATTTTATTAAAGAGTTAATAATAATCCATTCAGTAATATTATAATACAAATATTGTAATTTTGTTAAACAAAATTAAAAAATTTCAACAGTGTATATTATTTATGTTAGCATGTTTATAAATACGCCTAAAGAGATTTTCACTTAAAAAAAAAAAAAAAAATTATTAATAAGAATATTTTTATTTACTGAAAGACTCGAGAAAATGCAAGAAAGTATTACATTTAATTCCCAATTGATAGTCTTATTCATTACTTTATGCAATACTCGACATTTCCGTATCAATTATACTCCATTATGTCTTTAATTATAATATCCTTTTGCTCTGATCTCATTTAAGCATCAGTTTTCATACAAAGTCAGTTTATGTAATTTACACGATATATAATTTGAAACAAATCATATAAATGAATTATTTAAATAATTAAATATTTACGGATTTTTTTTTTTTTTTAAATTAAAAATAATTGCCAAATGATAAATAATAAGTTAAAAATGTAATTCATATTTGTATGTATACGCATACATTGAGCAGCAACAGGTTGGCACGTTTGTATAAGTCAACTAGGTTATGCTAAAGAGAAATAGACTAGGGTAAAAGCGGCGGGGATGAACGAGTATCGTATAGGGTCGAGAAGAACTAAACTGGGATGAGTGAGTCAAGACAAGACTTTGAATGCTGGATATTGAGAAGCGACTATGGATTTTAGAACATTAGCATATTGATGAACGCGGCATTTACATTTTTCCATGTTACCTATTATTTACGTTTTAATTAAAAGTTTTATTAATACAAAAACAGAATTAAAGAGTTTTAAAATGTGCATATTTTTGTGTGCACTGAAAAAAAAAAAAAAATTCACTGTGAACAAGTAATAATATTTATACGATTTATACTTTTTAACTTCCCATTAGGAAGTTATTGTAATTGGGTCGATTGGTGAAATTTGAATTTTCATTAAATTAAGCATACTGACATATTTTTAGAATGATGTGTGTGTACGTATGTATGTATGTATGTATTATGTACGTACGTACGTATGTACGGACGTCAGCATTTTTTTCGTTTTCGATATCTTAAGAACGGATCAAGATATCAACTTGAACCAAAATTAATTCGAAATATATTATTATAAAGAAGATCTGAAAGAAATTTGAACGAATTCGATAGAGCTGTATAACAAAATAACTAATAAAAAAATGAAAAGATTAGCTATTTAAAATACTTTTAAGCCAAACAATAACAATTTCATTTGAAAATTAAATCGATATTGACTAGACATTATTGTTCACAACCAAATATGACTCTTAACAATTACGCATTGTTTATAACAATACGAATTTGTTATAAACAATTGAAAATTGTATTTATCGATTAACTGATGCGTATATCACATGGATTTGGATGTTTTCAACAAAATAATATTATTAATGATGAAATATGACTCGTAAAAATTACATATTGTTTATAACAATACGAATTTGTTATAAACAATTACTAATGGGAAGTTCGTCGTGTTAGCACAGACAAAGTGTGCTCAGACCTATTTTTTTATAATTATTTTATGATACTTTTTTCAACGAATAAACTTTTGGTCTTTGTTTTTTATTTATTATTAAACTTTTAATTTTTTCTAAAAGAAAATCGCACGTATATCTTTAAAAAACATGAACATCATTAATGATACCAAGTGTAGATGTCACTGCATTGAGGTCTAATTAAAGTCCAAGTCTCTAATTAGATTAGAATCCCTTAAGATAGAGTCCGGCAAGACTAAAGTCCCTTAAATTCTTATGAGACTTTAGGCAAGACTTGAGCAATATGGCGACGTCTTGCCGGACTCTAAATTAAACCTTAAAGCAGGGACACACTAAGTGCATTAAAATAAAACACTAATATTTGCAGTGTATCTTGAACCGAATATCAAAATACATTTTTTAAACAAAATTTCGTTAAATTCAATAAAATATTGTATTGCAAATATTTCCATTTTATTTTCTTTACTGATTAAATAAATATTTTCTCAACGTATGTTAATATTGTTTAAAACAGTACAAAAAAAAATGATTGAACTATTAACGAGAATGAAACGTAAATCATTCAACTTGAAACCTGGTATTTGAGCAATCCTAATAAACCGTAAAATTTTATATTATGTAGTTGTGTTTACAATGTCTTTATGCTCATATGTTGCACAACTAATAGGTCATTTATCGCGTAATATTTCCATATATATTATTGAGGTTAAAGAAAATTAATTTTTATTTTTATAAAAATCCCACAAAAAACAATATTTTTCATTTTAAAAATAATCCTTGTAAACATTCTCCTCTGCTGTCTCAATAAGTAAATACTCTTACTGAGATAGCTATTTGCTCAAAATATTCTACGAAAATACATATGTGAGTAGAAGAAAGATAAACAATCAAATCATTTTTATTTTCTACTTAAACGGTCATTTTTTCGTATGACTTGTACTCATTTGTGTTACTATGAATATATTCATAGAGAAATTTGACTATTTTATTTTTATATTGAGTGTTTAGATTTTTAATTATGCATATGACATCCATATTTGTAGTTCAGTGAATTTATAAAGATAAAATAACTGTAATTTTATGCGACATAAAGAAAAGGTTCAGCTTCGAAGATGTAAAAGTATAATAATGATTAATCTCCCATTTAGGTTAGTGTCATTTAAATATTAAAAAAAAAATTTTTTTCTTAACTTATAAATAATTTCTGGAGATTTAAGACTCTCTTTTATTATTCTACCATCTTGAGTGCATAGTAGTCATTGACTTTCACTAATTTATTGCCAATAAACATTGACATGTGTAGCTTAAATGTATTGATTTAATAAATAATTACTTGGTGACTAAAGTTTATTTAAAATTACTACGACATTTGATTGCACTATTTATGTCACGAAATATTTTTATTTATTTATTAATTGACTTATTAAACTTAAATATTGATAATTAGTTTGAGACTTCCGTTCATTTGTATACTTGAATAGAATAATAAGTATCAGTTTTAAAAAATGGGTAATTATATGATGAATATAAATAAAAATTATGAAAAATAGTATATGAGAGAATGGCTTAAGTCAATCAATATAGAAAGTAAATTTGTGTCACAGATTTAGCAATTACTTTATAAATATATTTTTTTTAAATTTATTCAATTAACATATCGTTCGATGAATTTCAATAGTTTGTGTTAAATTTCAGATCTAGTCAGCTGTGCCAATTTCAAGTTTATCATTAATAACAACTTTATAAAGTAGATTTTCCGGTCTGACATAGATGAAATCTACTATAGGTTTTTTTTGCAGTTAAAAATTTTTGCCGCCAATTATTTTGATGTAATACCTTTTAATTCGCAACATGATGAAAGGGAGGTCGATTCGGTGCTGTAAGAAATAGCTATAAACGTGAAACTTCAACAAGATTCTTTCTTGAATAATCACGTGTGATTTGTTAACTAACCTACTAAATTTTGCAATTTAATCATTGCGTTTTTCAACTTAATAATACATACACAAATGATATTTTGATTTATTTTTATTACTGTATTATTAAATGTCTACATTAAATCTTGATAAGTTATTAAGGTATTTCGATTGAGATTAATTTTTTATTGAGTTTTTTTTCAACTATATTTCAATAAAAGATTATTAAAAAATAAATAATATTAATTTAATAAAAAAAAATCATAATAGAAAAAAATTGGTTTGTGCGCATGCGTAGTCCTAATTCTTAGATTTTATTATTCATCAGAAATTATCACATTACTATAGTGTGTTTATGGCCTTTAACATTGTAAGCACTTCAAGTGTTTTTTTGTTTTTACACACCCGGATTTGCAGTGTTTTAAAAGGCCCTGGGTTTTTTTTATAAGGCCCAAATCGATCGAAATACTTCAACTTAATTTTCTTGATACACATCACCATTAATAAAATTAATTCCTAATAATAATATAAATATTTATTTAAAATTTATTTTATAAAATATATTTTTAGTATTAATGTTGTGTATTGATGATAATTCAGACATCAGATTTTCAATAGACAGATGTATAATATTATTATGAACAAGGAACAAAATTTCTTTGTAATTATAAAATTAGTCTGAAGGCCAGAATCAAATAAAAGGCTTCGTTCTATTGTAATTTTCGTAACAATGGTTGAGTTTCATCAGAGAAAGCTATCCTACCAGTCCTATTGTCTTCATGTTCTTCATTGGAGAAAATTAGTCAATCCTCTTGAGTGCTAACAACAAAAGTACTTACGCA